ATACACGCACATACACGCACACGCACACACACACGCACACACACACACATGTATATACAGTATATATACATAGGCCTATAACAGAGAAAAAATGTTATGGTGTGCGTGATCATGGATTGTCTTTATTATTTCTATTCCTTAATGTATCATAAAAATAACTGTACTTAAAGAAATATCTCAATTTCGACGCTCTTGGTCCGAAGACACAAGAAAAGGAAGGGATTAGACGACGCCTGGAGGGGCGGAGCTTAAGCCTTTGCGTTGAAGAAAAACCAACGCGATGGGACGTTACTACAGAGGCCTTAAGAATGAGATGCACGAAAAATATTTTCTGCAATAGTAGGATCTTAGTAATACTTGATGCAGTTTGAAATTATGGCATGATTCTTTTTTTTTTTTTCATTAACATCAGCTGCATTTAGAATCCGTTACGACCCTGCCCTTTCACACAATTTATATTTCTGTGAAACATATGTGTATGTAATATATGCAGAAAAAGTATGTATTTTCTAACTCCAAAGCTGATAGCTCCTCACAAAACGGAATCTAAAGTACATTACTGTTTATTGTCGGAGTTGTAGAAGCCAAAATACACGGCCGGATCTGAGTTAACCGTCAGTAGAGAAAGGATTTATCGCAAATGGAATGGAAGAATTAGTTTTCCCTCGTATGTTGTAAGACATGATTAACTATCAATTTTCTAACCAAATACATAAGCCAGGACGGGATTTTCAAAGCAACAAATTGGCAGTTTAAATTAGTTTTATCTGTACCAAGTTTCTGTTCAGTCTCTCTTATAATTCGTAGAACTCGAATCCCTTCTCACCACGACGCGATCTCAAACACTGCCGGCAAGTGCTAACTCCAAGATAAACCTTTTCGCCAATCCTTTTTACAAGCAATTAACGCCATAAAACACACTAAACACTAACACCACAAGCACTGACAACGAAACCTCCCCTTATGAATAAAAAAAATCGAAATAAATGACAGACGACCTTAAAATCAACCCCAACGAGCTTCAAAATCCCCACAAAATTTAACAGAAAAAGCAGGTTATCAGATATACATATCCTCCATAAAGATATATATATACGTTTTTTTGCTTATACTTTAATAAAATAATTCACGATAAAACATGACTCATTATGAAATGGAAAAAGATCTTCAATTTTATGAATATCTATTTCAAATCCACTTTAAAAGCAACTGGCAGCGAGTCGGCTCCTGGCAGTCTAGGAGTTTAAAAAATAAAAATTAGCTAAAATACGCTTTCTAGATTAAACTTATAAAAACGAGAGCTGCGAGAGAGAGAGAGAGAGAGAGAGAGAGAGAGAGAGAGAGAGAGAGAGAGAGAGAGAGAGAGAGAGAGAGAGAGAGAGAGCGAAAGAGAGAGAGAGAGAGAGCGAAAGAGAGAGAGAGAGAAGGAGAGCGATAGAGAGAGAGAGAGCGAGAGAGGGAGGGGAGAGAGAGAGAGCGAAAGAGAGAGAGAGAGAGAGAGAGAGAGAGAGAGATAGCACGCTGCCAGCAACACGTCTGGCAGTGCCGCGCAGCCGAGATCCCAAAGAGGACGACACTGAAACTGCTGGAAGCCGGTACAGGTACGTCTCTTTATTACTCGTTATGTGAACTATGGCGTGGTTTGTTCACTGATTTAGAAGCCCGTTGGGGTTGATGTTAAGGTCACCTGTCATTTAATTCGAAATTTTTATTCCTGTGGCGAGGTTTCGTTGTAAGGGCTTGTAATGTTAGTGTTTAGTGTGCTTTCTGGCGTTGATTGCTTGTAAAGAGCATTGGCGAATAGGCTTGTCTTGGAATTAGCTCTTGCCGGGATTGTTTGAGATCGCGTCGTGATGAGAAAGGATTTGAGTTCTACGAATGTTAAGAGAAACTGAACTGGTACAGATAAAACTGATTGATACTGGCATTTCGTTGCACAGGAAATCCGGTCCTGGCTTATATATTGTCAGTCAAGTCCCACAACATAAGAGGGAAAATGATTCTTCCTTTCCATTTGCGATTAATCCTTTCTCTCGTGAATTTTGGCCTCCACAACTTCCACAATATACAGTAACGCACTGTGAGGAAATTTGAAATTTAAAAATAATACATAGGCCTACTTTTTTTTTGCCCATCATCGTATATGTTGCGTATGTTTCTTTCTTTTCTTGTGTCTCCGGACCAAGAACTTCGAAACTGAGATATTTCTTTAAATAGAAATGTTTGTGATGCATTAAGGAATAGAAATAATAAAGATAATTCATGATCATACCATAACATTTCTATTTTAACCCAATCGCCCCACCTAGTTCACCTGTTTACCCTTTTCCTTCACTTTAGGAAAAGTTTTTTTTTTGTATCATTTCATTGTCTAAAATATTCTAATGACAATTTAATAATAATAACATCAATAACAACAATAACAGTATCGATAGCAATGGTATTAATTTTTCCGCCAATTCAATGAATGGGAAAATCAGGGTCGGTAACTCGGGCCTACCGATAGACTCCTTGCCGGCTGAGCACATTTGGAGACATCTGTATATAACAAAATTCACCAAAAACTACAGGGGACAGAGCATAAATCCGGGGCGAATGGGTTAAGAAATGTCTCTTGGTCCGAAGGCACTAAATAATGAAGAGATTAGACGACGATTGGGGGGGCGGGGCCAAAGCCATGACGCCATAACCGCCAACGCGTTGCTATCGCGTTTGCGTTCAAGAAAATCCAACGCAGTTGATTGTGCTACTAAAAAAGGTATTAAAAAGCCCCATAGACACCAGATATGTGATTTTATTATAATTTGCCTGGCACAGTATACAAAGAGATCATAATAATTGTATAGTGGTTGTGTTGCGATTTCAACCACGCAACAACTATACTTTATTTACAAATGTGTCTGGGAGTATGTCATTCATAGTATTTTCTGACGTGTGCTAAGGACAAAGCTCTTACACCGAATAAATGACTTTAACTTCAGTCTAAGAAATGACTTGAACTTTAATGGTATTTTCACCATATTTGTCAAAGCTGCCACGGGAGTGTATGTTTTGAGAGACACTCAAAGACATGTAATCTTTCATTACGTCATATATATCTGTGTAAAAAAAAGAAAAAAAAAAGTCACATCCAGGTGTTGTCGTTGAAATGTGTATTAAATATGTATTTCTGTTTTGTATAAATATGAAGGATGCATTACTATACCACATTGAACGTATCTAAAAATCACAAGAAAACTCACGAAAAAGGTTAAGTTACAAGATTACTGTAATCTCCAAAGACACCAGCGACCTTGATCTGTCTTATCTCTGATACGGAAACAATAAAGGTAAGTTGAAGAGAAAACGAGACAAGATTGAACCGGTTTGTGTGTGTGAGAGAGAGAGAGAGACAGAGACAGAGAAAGAGAGAGAGAGATAGACGGAGAGAGAGAGGCATAAATAGAAAGAGAGAGACTTCGACAGCGAGAGAGACATAGACAGAGAAAGGGAGACAGACAAAGAGAGAAAGAGAGACAGTGAGGTAAGGATAGACAGACAGAGTCCTCTGTGGGTATAGATAGATGGATAACTGTTGAAGTGCATCTGTACCAATGAAATCACACAAGCATACTTATAGATGTATGTGTACGTGAGTGCGCACACGCCCAGGAGACGGGCCAAAGGTTGTGACCGAGACCGACGAATGGCACAGCAGGAGAGAGTGGAGGAGGAGGAGAGGCGGAGATAAAGAAGGTGCGCTGAGATGATCCTTATCTGCAGCAGTCTCCCCGTCTATCTAAAAAGTGCTTACCTCCCTATCTCCCTCATTCTTTTCCCTGGCAATTTGGCAATTTCTCTCCCTATATTTCTATCTATCTATCTTTACGTCTCTATTTTCTCTTACTTCTTCCACAGAATGGAAATCATATACGCCCTCGTGGCTTTGGCAGCGTTGTCAGCAGGTGTCAGTGCCGCCCCCTTGGTGACGCTGACGGACGGGCGTGTGTCGGGCGTGAACGAGCGGTCGACGAAAGGGCACGAGTTCTTCGCTTATTACGGCATTCCTTACGCCAAGCCGCCGGTGGACAAGCTCAGGCTCAAGGTAAGGAAGGGAAGAAGGGAAAGAGGAGGATAGAGAGAAAGTGGAGAGGGAGGGAAAGAAGATGGAAGGAAGGAGGAGGATAGAGAGAAAGAGAAGGAGAGGGAGGGAAGGAAGGAGGGGAGAGAGAGAAATGAGAAGGAGAGAGAAAGAGGGAGAGGTAGGGAAGGAAGGAGGGGAAGAGGGGGAAAGAGAAAAAGGGAGAGAGAGATAGAGAAGGGGCAATAACAGAGGAAGAGACAGATAGAGAAAGACGGGAAACAAGAGAGGGAAATGGAGAAAGAAAAATAGGGAACACGAGAAGAAGCGAGAGGGGAAAGGAGGGGAGAGAGAAAGAGGAAAGATAAGGAAGAGAGCGGGAGAAGGAGAGAAAAAGAGGAAGAGGGGGAACAAGAGAGGAAGAGAGGGAGAAGGACAGAGAAAGCGAGAGGAGCAGGGGAAGAGAAGGAGAAACAAATAAAGGAAGTGGGAGAGGAGAGGAAGTAGGTAGCGAGAGAGAAAGAGAAGAGAAGGGAGGAGAAAGGAAACGAGCTAGCGAGAAAGAGAGAGAGGGATAGAGAGAGAAGAGAGAGGGAGAAAACTAATGTAAAATTCTAAAGTTTAAACATTTAGAATTTAATATTGAATTAACAGGTTAAAAGAATTATGTTTGCCATATACTCTTACTCACAAACAAATCGTTATGTACAAACAGATATTAATCCTTCTCCATCTGTCCCAAAAGCAGATTTTCCTCCAGCTATTCAAAAAGACTACATCTCTTTCTATCTCTTCTACATCTTCTACGCAGCTGAGAATCCAACCTTATCACTCTCCTCCCACACCCACAGGATCCCGTGAAGGCAGACAGGTGGGCGGGCACGAGGGATGGCTCTAAGATGCCCCCGCCCTGTGTCCAAGTGCCCGCCGAACACCTTATGCTGGATCTTCCCATTACGCTGGACGACATCATCGGAGAAGAGGACTGTCTCTACCTCAATGTCTTCACGCCAAAGGTGGGCATCACGGGTGGGATGCAGTGTGTGTGTGTGTGTGTGTGTGTGTGTGTGTGTGTGTGTGTGTTTGTGTGTTTGTTTGTGCCTACGTGTGCGCGTGCATTTGTGTGCATCGAATTACATATAAAAAACTTGACTGATGGAACCCCTCCTTTGCCCCCCCCCCCTCCGCAGAGGAAGAAACCCGACGAGAGGCTTCCGGTGATGGTGTACATCCACGGCGGCGCCTTCTTCATCGGCGGCGCCCACGAGTACCTCCCGCACGTCCTCATGGACCACAACATAGTGCTGGTTGTGATGCAGTACCGACTGGGAACTCTAGGCAAGTCGTGTCAGGTAGTTTCGCTGCTGCCTCGTGTGCCTTGGCCTTCCAGACTCAGATTCGGAAGCAGAAGGATTTATTGGCCAATGATCTATTAGTCAAAGTATGTACAGGAATGAATTACATACAAAAAATGCACATGATTGAGCGCTGCCGTGGCCCCTTCAACACGCAATGGTTTAAGGGATTTAAGTATTGCCGTCTTATTTATTATTTTATTTGTTATTATATTCCTAGGATTGCTATCTAGGATGGTTTTAATGTCCCTGTGTAGGTTTCATGTCGACGGAGGACATGGCGATGCCCGGGAACTTCGGGATGAAGGACCAAGTCATGGCCCTCCGCTGGGTGCAGGACAACATCCACAATTTCGGGGGCGACGCCGCCAGGGTCACCATCTTCGGGGAGAGCGCGGGAGGCGCCTCCGTCCACCTTCACGTGCTGTCGCCCAAATCTAAAGGTGGGAGATGTTCCTGCGAGCGGCGTTCAGGGGAAGAAAAAGCATCTGTAAAGGTCTTCTTATGATTATTATTTCTTGCAACTGGATCATCACAACTATCATCTCAAAGTAGAAAATAGTATAAGATTCCTGTCCTTTACGAGTATACTTCTGTCCATTAAAGTATGCCGTTAGTAGTCGGTAGTTTTTTGGGGTAAACAAAGGAATATTCATAGATAGGAAGAAATGTCCAGTTAATAAACTATTAATAAAATAATAATGGTAATATACTGAGATTATAATTATATCGTCCGAAGACGATATGATTACATATAGTCAAAAGGCAATATCATGTATACAGTCTATAGGTAATAGTGTATAAAGAGTCAACGCTATAAACTGCCAGGCATTCGAGAAGAACAAAGAAGGCAGCCAGACCCATCTTCAAGCGACCGCGTACCTCCTGACTCCCTGAAAAAAAGACCGTCGGCACAGTCATTAGCCTCCCTTTCCTCATTGCCTCATTGCTTCAGAATGCCTCCCTCTCCCTCCAGCCTGACTCCCTCTCCCTCCAGCCTGACTCCCTCTCCCTCCAGCCTGACTCCCTCTCCCTCCAGCCTGACTCCCTCTCCCTCCAGCCTGACTCCCTCTCCCTCCAGCCTGACTCCCTTCTCCTCCAGCCTGACTCCCTTCTCCTCCAGCCTGACTCCCTCTCCCTCCAGCCTGACTCCCTCTCCCTCCAGCCTGACTCCCTCTCCCTCCAGCCTGCCTCCCTTCTCCTCCAGCCTGACTCCCTCTCCCTCCAGCCTGACTCCCTTCTCCTCCAGCCTGACTCCCTCTCCCTCCAGCCTGACTCCCTCTCCCTCCAGCCTGACTCCCTCTCCCTCCAGCCTGACTCCCTCTCCCTCCAGCCTGCCTCCCTTTCTCTCCAGCCTGACTCCCTCTCCCTCCAGCCTGCCTCCCTTTCTCTCCAGCCTGACTCCCTCTCCCTCCAGCCTGACTCCCTCTCCCTCCAGCCTGACTCCCTCTCCCTCCAGCCTGACTCCCTCTCCCTCCAGCCTGACTCCCTCTCCCTCCAGCCTGCCTCCCTTTCTCTCCAGCCTGACTCCCTTTCTCTCCAGCCTGACTCCCTCTCCCTCCAGCCTGCCTCCCTTCTCTCCAGCCTGACTCCCTTCTCCTCCAGCCTGACTCCCTCTCCCTCCAGCCTGACTCCCTCTCCCTCCAGCCTGACTCCCTCTCCCTCCAGCCTGCCTCCCTTTCTCTCCAGCCTGACTCCCTTTCTCTCCAGCCTGACTCCCTCTCCCTCCAGCCTGACTCCCTCTCCCTCCAGCCTGACTCCCTCTCCCTCCAGCCTGCCTCCCTCTCCCTCCAGCCTGACTCCCTCTCCCTCCAGCCTGCCTCCCTCTCCCTCCAGCCTGCCTCCCTTTCTCTCCAGCCTGACTCCCTCTCCCTCCAGCCTGCCTCCCTCTCCCTCCAGCCTGACTCCCTCTCCCTCCAGCCTGACTCCCTCTCCCTCCAGCCTGCCTCCCTTTCTCTCCAGCCTGACTCCCTCTCCCTCCAGCCTGCCTCCCTTCTCCTCCAGCCTGACTCCCTCTCCCTCCAGCCTGACTCCCTCTCCCTCCAGCCTGACTCCCTCTCCCTCCAGCCTGACTCCCTCTCCCTCCAGCCTGCCTCCCTCTCCCTCCAGCCTGACTCCCTCTCCCTCCAGCCTGCCTCCCTCTCCCTCCAGCCTGCCTCCCTTCTCTCCAGCCTGACTCCCTCTCCCTCCAGCCTGACTCCCTCTCCCTCCAGCCTGACTCCCTCTCCCTCCAGCCTGACTCCCTCTCCCTCCAGCCTGACTCCCTCTCCCTCCAGCCTGACTCCCTCTCCCTCCAGCCTGCCTCCCTCTCCCTCCAGCCTGACTCCCTCTCCCTCCAGCCTGACTCCCTCTCCCTCCAGCCTGCCTCCCTTCTCCTCCAGCCTGACTCCCTCTCCCTCCAGCCTGACTCCCTCTCCCTCCAGCCTGCCTCCCTCTCCCTCCAGCCTGACTCCCTCTCCCTCCAGCCTGACTCCCTCTCCCTCCAGCCTGACTCCCTCTCCCTCCAGCCTGACTCCCTCTCCCTCCAGCCTGACTCCCTCTCCCTCCAGCCTGACTCCCTCTCCCTCCAGCCTGACTCCCTCTCCCTCCAGCCTGACTCCCTCTCCCTCCAGCCTGCCTCCCTCTCCCTCCAGCCTGCCTCCCTTTCTCCTCCAGCCTGACTCCCTCTCCCTCCAGCCTGACTCCCTCTCCCTCCAGCCTGACTCCCTCTCCCTCCAGCCTGACTCCCTCTCCCTCCAGCCTGACTCCCTCTCCCTCCAGCCTGACTCCCTCTCCCTCCAGCCTGACTCCCTCTCCCTCCAGCCTGACTCCCTCTCCCTCCAGCCTGACTCCCTCTCCCTCCAGCCTGCCTCCCTTTCTCTCCAGCCTGACTCCCTCTCCCTCCAGCCTGACTCCCTCTCCCTCCAGCCTGACTCCCTCTCCCTCCAGCCTGACTCCCTCTCCCTCCAGCCTGCCTCCCTTCTCCTCCAGCCTGACTCCCTCTCCCTCCAGCCTGACTCCCTCTCCCTCCAGCCTGACTCCCTCTCCCTCCAGCCTGACTCCCTCTCCCTCCAGCCTGACTCCCTCTCCCTCCAGCCTGACTCCCTCTCCCTCCAGCCTGACTCCCTCTCCCTCCAGCCTGACTCCCTCTCCCTCCAGCCTGACTCCCTCTCCCTCCAGCCTGACTCCCTCTCCCTCCAGCCTGACTCCCTTCTCCCTCCAGCCTGACTCCCTCTCCCTCCAGCCTGCCTCCCTCTCCCTCCAGCCTGACTCCCTCTCCCTCCAGCCTGACTCCCTCTCCCTCCAGCCTGACTCCCTCTCCCTCCAGCCTGACTCCCTCTCCCTCCAGCCTGACTCCCTCTCCCTCCAGCCTGCCTCCCTTCTCCTCCAGCCTGACTCCCTCTCCCTCCAGCCTGCCTCCCTTTCTCTCCAGCCTGACTCCCTCTCCCTCCAGCCTGACTCCCTCTCCCTCCAGCCTGACTCCCTCTCCCTCCAGCCTGACTCCCTCTCCCTCCAGCCTGACTCCCTCTCCCTCCAGCCTGCCTCCCTTTCTCTCCAGCCTGACTCCCTCTCCCTCCAGCCTGCCTCCCTTTCTCTCCAGCCTGACTCCCTCTCCCTCCAGCCTGACTCCCTCTCCCTCCAGCCTGCCTCCCTTTCTCCTCCAGCCTGACTCCCTCTCCCTCCAGCCTGACTCCCTTCTCCTCCAGCCTGACTCCCTCTCCCTCCAGCCTGACTCCCTCTCCCTCCAGCCTGACTCCCTCTCCCTCCAGCCTGACTCCCTCTCCCTCCAGCCTGACTCCCTCTCCCTCCAGCCTGACTCCCTCTCCCTCCAGCCTGCCTCCCTCTCCCTCCAGCCTGCCTCCCTTCTCCTCCAGCCTGACTCCCTCTCCCTCCAGCCTGCCTCCCTTCTCCTCCAGCCTGACTCCCTCTCCCTCCAGCCTGACTCCCTCTCCCTCCAGCCTGACTCCCTTCTCCTCCAGCCTGACTCCCTCTCCCTCCAGCCTGCCTCCCTTCTCTCCAGCCTGACTCCCTCTCCCTCCAGCCTGACTCCCTCTCCCTCCAGCCTGACTCCCTCTCCCTCTAGCCTGCCTCCCTTCTCTCCAGCCTGACTCCCTCTCCCTCCAGCCTGCCTCCCTTTCTCTCCAGCCTGACTCCCTCTCCCTCCAGCCTGCCTCCCTTTCTCTCCAGCCTGACTCCCTCTCCCTCCAGCCTGCCTCCCTTTCTCTCCAGCCTGACTCCCTCTCCCTCCAGCCTGACTCCCTCTCCCTCCAGCCTGACTCCCTCTCCCTCCAGCCTGACTCCCTCTCCCTCCAGCCTGACTCCCTCTCCCTCCAGCCTGACTCCCTCTCCCTCCAGCCTGACTCCCTCTCCCTCCAGCCTGCCTCCCTCTCCCTCCAGCCTGCCTCCCTTTCTCTCCAGCCTGACTCCCTCTCCCTCCAGCCTGCCTCCCTTTCTCTCCAGCCTGACTCCCTCTCCCTCCAGCCTGACTCCCTCTCCCTCCAGCCTGCCTCCCTTTCTCTCCAGCCTGACTCCCTCTCCCTCCAGCCTGCCTCCCTTTCTCTCCAGCCTGACTCCCTCTCCCTCCAGCCTGACTCCCTCTCCCTCCAGCCTGACTCCCTCTCCCTCTAGCCTGCCTCCCTTTCTCTCCAGCCTGACTCCCTCTCCCTCCAGCCTGCCTCCCTTTCTCTCCAGCCTGACTCCCTCTCCCTCCAGCCTGCCTCCCTTTCTCTCCAGCCTGACTCCCTCTCCCTCCAGCCTGACTCCCTCTCCCTCCAGCCTGACTCCCTCTCCCTCCAGCCTGCCTCCCTTTCTCTCCAGCCTGACTCCCTCTCCCTCCAGCCTGCCTCCCTTTCTCTCCAGCCTGACTCCCTCTCCCTCCAGCCTGCCTCCCTTTCTCTCCAGCCTGACTCCCTCTCCCTCCAGCCTGACTCCCTCTCCCTCCAGCCTGACTCCCTCTCCCTCCAGCCTGCCTCCCTCTCCCTCCAGCCTGACTCCCTCCCTCCAGCCTGCCTCCCTCTCCCTCCAGCCTGACTCCCTCTCCCTCCAGCCTGACTCCCTTTCTCTCCAGCCTGATTCCCTCTCCCTCCAGCCTGACTCCCTCTCCCTCCAGCCTGACTCCCTCCCTCCAGCCTGACTTCCTCTCCCTCCAGCCTGACTCCCTCTCCCTCCAGCCTGACTCCCTCCCTCCAGCCTGACTCCCTCTCCCTCCAGCCTGACTCCCTTTCTCTCCAGCCTGACTCCCTCTCCCTCCAGCCTGACTCCCTCCCTCCAGCCTGACTCCCTCTCCCTCCAGCCTGACTCCCTTTCTCTCCAGCCTGACTCCCTCTCCCTCCAGCCTGACTCCCTCCCTCCAGCCTGACTTCCTCTCCCTCCAGCCTGACTCCCTCTCCCTCCAGCCTGACTCCCTCCCTCCAGCCTGACTCCCTCTCCCTCCAGCCTGACTCCCTTTCTCTCCAGCCTGACTCCCTCTCCCTCCAGCCTGACTCCCTCCCTCCAGCCTGACTCCCTCTCCCTCCAGCCTGACTCCCTTTCTCTCCAGCCTGACTCCCTCTCCCTCCAGCCTGACTCCCTTTCTCTCCAGCCTGACTCCCTCCCTCCAGCCTGACTCCCTCTCCCTCCAGCCTGACTCCCTCTCCCTCCAGCCTGCCTCCCTTTCTCTCCAGCCTGCCTCCCTCTCCCTCCAGGCCTGTTCGCCCGCGCCATCCTGCAGTCGGGATCGGCCCTCGCGCCGTGGGCAGTGGGCGAGAAGTTCCGCCCGGCAGCCTTCCAAACCAGCCGCGTCGTCCGCTGCCCCAAGTGCATCCTCACGAAGGACGTCACCTTCTGCATGCAGCTCACCGACGGCAAGGAAGTGGCGTCGGCAGTGAAGAACTTCACGGCAAGCTGTTTTTGTTTTATCCTCTTTGTATTTTATCAATTCATCATGAATTTCGTATGTTTTTGATTTTCTAAGTGTTTTACTAATTCATTCGTTTTATCTTTTCATGCATTCACATGCTTTTAATGCTCAGTGCTTTACTTATTTATTTCTTGTATCTATTCATTCATTCATACATGTTTTCATACATTTATGTATTGATTTATTTATTCTTTTATCCATAGATTTATCTATCTGATAATGTATTCCTTCCTCTCTTCTATTCACTTATCCC